CAAGTGAAAGGCCAAGGTGCGGACCTCATTGAGGTCTATCTAGTACCTTGACGTGATATTGAGAAGTCCGTAATTAAAAGTTCGGTTGTATGCAAACATCAAACAACAGTGCGCTATAGGAACTTGAGCACGTTTTTAATACTAAGGTGCTTACAATTTCACATCACGACTCAGCCAAAGGCCATCTATGATGCCCCGTGGTTAATGCCACGATGACATTGATAAACGCACAGTGAATGTAATCGATTACAATAAGTCGAGATGTATAGTGTGGCATAGTTCAAACATCAACGCATATTCGGGTACGAGCTAATCATCAAGTAGAAGGCCAAAGAAAGATGATGAATCGTGCAACTGACGTGTCCTAAAAGTAAGAAATGCTATGCATGCGACCAAGAACGGATCTTTACCAATCTATACATGCAGGACATGTGAGTTGAACAGTCGAGTCAACTGAAAATTCTATCCTAACAGCTTTCTAGAAGGTTGCCAGCGCCTAGAACTTAGCTTGCATGGCACAAGCACATGCATTTTTTTCCTTCTAAATCTTACACGGTTTCGTCATTCTGCATGATTTAACGTATGATTTATATTCTTTGGAAGTTTCAGATGCTTGTTGGGAATAATATCTTCTTTGGTCGTGTACATTTTATGAACCTTTTAGCCGGTATGAAAGTTGGATGGAGCTTGAGAGCCGGTTTTTGAACGATATCTGACTTCTTGAGGAAGCATGGATGATCCTTCCTCTGGAGACTACGCCTATGGCATAAATATTAACGGGTGGCCCCAATTTGAAGTTCTCCACAAAAGAACTTCAAGTAAGTGTGAAGAGAAACAGAATGTATTTCACAAGATAATTAATGACAACCAAAGAAAATTAGTTCTTAAATAAGGATATACAGGGAGTACAATTAGAATGAGACAAATATACTTCTGTCATCAAAACTTGATAATCAAAAAAGAAAGTTTAATCAGAACTTTTTCTTCCATTTTTCCTGCAAAGAGAACTTGCACAGCAAAGAAAAGAGTGTTTAGGATAACATGTCCGTACTAATTGATAAATATTGAAGTTATTTTCTAGCCCGTGCATAGCACGAGTTCTTTGCTAGTAACTTCATATTTGGGCCATGTACTTGGATTTTGACTGGCCTTCAAAATAGCTGATGAGGTTAACGAAATATCTCATGAATCCGACATTTGTCTGGTTAAGATGAGCAATAAGTAGGAGGCTGGGGTTAGTATATTCCAGGAATATGAGAAATCAACAGAATTTTGTCCTGAAGATAGATGAAGAATATTTGCTAGAACTTTTAGTGGTGAGAAGAGATTTCTGGGCTCTAGCTTTACAGCGGACACAAAACTATGATTTTCTCTTTAACCTGAAAGGAATGGTGGATCAATTTGACGTGGACCCTATTTACGTATAATACCCTCTGATTCAACATGAGTGGGGACATTTCTGCAGGTCTGGTGAAGTTGACGCTCTTGACTTATATGAATACGCTACTTGGTTTCTTGTGTTTCTTATTATGCTCTAAAATAATGAATATGTAAGGAACCGGTCCGACAAGGGCGGGGATCCGGACAAGGAGTGGCTTCTGACAGGTTTCCAAGATGGCGAATGAGGTAAGAATGAACCAAATTGAGCATTGAACAAGCGGAAAGTTTAGCATTAGGAGCATTTCTGGGATATATATGTGAAACTGAAATTAACTCATGCAAGATGCCTTTTGAAGTAACGGCAACTTTAGCATTGGAACTGTAGGGAAAAAGTCACGAAAGAAATCGACTAACCTTTCGATGCATAACAAAAGAATTACCCAGGAATATAGTTAAATCGGCAAAAGGACACTATAAGTGCCATAACTTGTGTACGGAGATCACTTTGGTGCCATAACTTTTTTTCGGATCACTTTGATGCCAAGTCGGAGGAAAAACGATCACTTAAGTGTCATAAGTTTTTTTTGGATCACTTCAGTGCTAAAATTTTTGAAAAATGATCACTTAAGTGCTAAAATTTTTTAAAAACGATCATTTAAGTGCTAAAATTTTTGAAAAACGATCACTTAAGTGCCAATCTCCGGCGAGCCACGTCAGCTTCAGAAATTAATAAAAAAAATGCCACGTCGGATTTACGGCGAAAAATTGTTTACGGCACCGGAGTTGGCACTTAAGTGATCGTTTTTCAAAAATTTTAGCACTTAAGTGATCGTTTTTCAAAAATTTTAGCACTAAAGTGATCCAAAAAAAACTTATGGCACCAAAGTGAGCACCGTACACAAGTTATGGCACTTGTAGTGTTCTTTTGCCTAGTTAAATCACTAGCGAGTAATAGAAGAATCTACAACTTCACAATGGTCCGAATATAATCACAAGGAAAATATTCTTGTTCCACAACATTAATGCCGATCGTCTTCTCAAAATAATGATGGAGACCTTTTATGTGTTATTCTGATAGAGACGAGAACGTTCGTTTCACTCTACGTTCTTTTCTACTCTACGTTCTTTTCTAAATATGTGATTGTTTTTTCATCAGGAAGTTATTTTAACTTAACTTAAAAAACAACCACTCACACCTCTTCAAAGTGTGCCTCTCAAATACACCTAATTGTGGGCGAACCATTGAAATATAATAGAAACTCCAATGTTAAGCGTGCTTAGGTGGGAGCACTCTCAGGATGGGTGACCTCCTGGGAAAGTGTCCACCTCTACACCAAATGACAAAACCGTAAGACTCCGTATGAGATGGTCCAAAGTGAACAATACTTAAGTTAATCTAGGAGTGTCACAATATGGTATTAGAACGAGACTTCCTCCAATGACAGAGTAACTCCTAACGGGCTTCTAGGATGCCCAAGTAACAAGTTTAACATTGGAACTCCAACGTTGTGCTTAGGTGAGAGCACTACCAGAATGGGTGGCCTCCTGGGAAAGTACCCACCTGTACGCCAAATGACAAAACTGTGAGGCTTGGTATAAGACAGGTTAAAGCAAACAAGACTTCAAATGAGTTAATCTACGGGCATCACAGAGCACGCGTGTTAAATTTGCATGCCGGCATCCTCTTTCATACACTATCACTTTTGGGTAGAATTTGTTCACTCCAATGGAATGTGTAAAACATTGTCGTCTCAATTAGCAAACCATTCCTATATTGGAAAGATCAATTAGCTGAAGAGTTCAGTTCAGACAATTAGATCGTAGTGTGTTTGTGCTTCATACATATGCTTGATTCTATATAGACTTGTTACGATCTGACGGTTTTTCTGTTTATGTGCACCATATGGGACCAAGAGTCAACATTGGTGTCTTGTTCCTTCCATGACTGATGGTATTCTGGTGCTTGCTATTTGAGAACCCAAAAATGAAAAACCAGGAAAAGTAAAAGTTCCCAATTTTTAGGGCATTATGAGTCTACTCCATTGTCCTCATTGGATTTTCCAGATGTGTCCTCTGTCCCAACTCCACTCTTCACAGCCCGGCTTCTCCATCTTCAGAAGTTGCACCATGCAGGGTACAGGATTAACAGGGGAAGTTGATACAAGAGATGCAATAAATGTAACATTTATGTAGACAGAGAGACAATGCTGAGTCGATTATATGCTCAGTCAGTTAAGAAATGATTCAGAATGATGTCAAACAAGTATAACCTTTTGTACTCACATTGATCATATCTAGTATATAAGCAATGACCGTTCCACTTTGATTTCCCAACAGTATAATTTGTTACAACTCCAGATTGCATGTATTTTTGTTTATAAATGGATTGGGCTACATATTGTAAAATGATGTACGAGTAGAAATCTCAACATTACATTAGGTGATTAAAAGTGAGATCATTATCAATATAGCGGCTATATGTCCCCAGGGTATGTGTTCTATGGAATGTTTTCTGTGAGATCTAATATATTTTAATTAGAGATTGTAAATGACAAGAGACGTAGAGGGTTTAGCAATCCGAGTCACCACCGCAACTTTCTTGGACATGTAAGAGAGAGCAGGATTAACATGTGGTTTTCTCCCTCTCTCAGTTTTCATACTTTTACCAAATTGCAATTTTTCTCAGGCACGGTTGCTTTCGATTGAAGACAGAGGCATGTAACTTGTGGACAGGCGTTTGTATGATTCATTTGGAAAATCTCAAGCAGAAAGGTGTATTCAGGAAGTTTGTATGCATCTACAAGTTCGCCAGAGATACACCTACAATTTCCTCTGTCGATCCCTAGTTAGGAAATGAAGTTGCAATCTTGCCTAAACCTAAACAGCCTAGTAGTTCAAAAAGGTGCAAATTTTAGTCCATACAGTTAATGCTACCACGATGACAATGCTGCAAGGTTGAATGGGTTTTCACGAGGAATTGTAAACAGATCTAAGACATGCCAAGGCTAAATTTGTTTGATTCTTGATTTATGCAAGTTTTAGTAGATAACATATTGCATAACATGTGAATGCACCATTGACCGCAGAGGAATGATCAGTTGATGATTTTGTTTCTTGTCGCTCAGTACTTCTGTTTCCACGTTAGGCAAAGTAGCCGAAACGACCATGTGTAACGGTGTAAATGTTTGTAATTAGAGGTCATCCAGGAACTGCAACAAAAGGATACACAAGTCCCTGGTTGTGTTTTTAATTTGAGATTGCTCTGAATTTATGGAGTTAGAAATATCACAAAATTGCTTACAAGTTGCCAAACTTGTGTTGTCACGTATTCCTTTAGATTAGCACAAGCCGAATGATTTTGGTTGAAAAATAGGCCTTGGGGACCAACTCCATCCTTTGTCCTGCTCGGGGAAGATTTATTAGTTATCACCCTGTCTCTGTCCCGTAGGCTGTAATTGGGCCGTGAGGAGAGGGGTGTGACTTTCTTGCATTGAATTAATAGACATGACATGTCTCCTAACGAACACCACTTGACAGCTTGACTATTCCACGACCCTTGATATTTTATCCTACTAGGAATTGAGTGTGATGGACTCTGCAATAAAACTACAGAACATCCCGTCAGGTAGGCTCCAGCTAGATATTCTTGGTGAGAACCTTTGAGTTTAAAACTTGTTATTGAGAGGGAGGAGCCAGGGAAAAAATTAACAGAAGGCTTTATGGCATTGGAAAAGCTTCCTTATTTCCCTTTCTTTTACTCTATTTCTCTCATGTTTGTGCTGAACTTGTCAATCGCATATGATACCTTAAGTTCAGGTCAGTCCATTAAAGATGGAGAGAAATTGGTCTCTTCAGGCCAAAGCTTTGAGCTTGGCTTCTTCTCTCCAGAAAACTCCAAGTATAGGTACTTGGGGATATGGTACAAATTTAGTTCTGAAAAAGTCGTTTGGGTCGCCAACAGAAACAACCCACTGACTGATTCAAATGGTGTTCTCACCTTTAGTGATGAGAGGAATCTAGTTGTTCTCGACCGATCAAAGAGTGTCATTTGGTCTTCAAATTCATCCAGGATTTTAAGAAACGCAGTTGCACAGCTGTTGGATTCCGGTAACCTTATTGTTTCAGAGAACACCAGTTCACATTCTGGTGAATGCTCATGGCAGAGCTTTGACTATCCAACTGACACCCTTTTAGCTGGTATGCGAGTGGGATGGAGCCTCAAAGCCGGTGTTGAATGGCGTCTGTCTTCTTGGAAAAGCACAGATGATCCTTCATCTGGAAACTACACCTACGGAATAAATGTTAATGGGTTGCCCCGATTTGAACTGCTCAAAAGAGACTCCACAAAAACATTTCGAACAGGGCCATGGAATGGAGTTCATTTCACGGGAGCTCCAGTGATTGAGATTACCTTTTTCAGGCCGAAGTTTGTCTACAATGAAACAGATGTATATTTTGAATTTGAATCTTCGAGGGATGATATCATCACCATAATCACATTGAATCAGTCTGGTCTTGTGGAACGTCTTCTAAGGAAGAAAGAGAGCTCTACATGGGATGCCATGATCATGTCTCCCCGTGATTCATGTGATAACTATGGACAGTGTGGTGCCAATGGTGTCTGCAGCAGTAACAAAGACCCTAGATGCCAGTGCTTGCAAGGTTTCATGCCCAAGTCCCAAGAAGAGTGGCAAGTAAATTCAACCAGTGGGTGCATTAGGAAAGCTCAGTTGAATTGCTCTCACGAAGAGGGCTTTTTGAAACTTTCGATGCTGAAACCGCCTGACCTGATAGACTTCAGGGTAAACAAGAATATAAGCCTTGAGGAGTGCAAGGTGGAGTGTCTAAAGAACTGTTCTTGTACGGCTTATGCTAATTCAGACGTTAGTGGAGGAGGGAGTGGCTGTTTGATGTGGTTCGGCAATCTCATTGATATAAGAGAATCCGATCAAGTCAACTATGAACAAAATTTCTACATAAGATTACCTGCTTCTGAGTTAGGTAGTGCGCATGGTGATTCAGTTAACAATCGCTTTTCTACGCTGCGATGATCTTGTTTTTTTTTTAGTTGTGTACATAGTAAATGCTGGACTAATCTTGATCTTGTACCCAACTACTTATTACTCATTTGCTTATCCTTTTGCTGCACTATTTTTGGTTACATTCATCAACTTATGAACATAATATTTTCTGAAATTAATTGACACACCTTTTCTTGGCTATTCTAGATTCCATCCGCAGCCCTGTCAATAAAAAAAAACTGTTGACTATCACTGTGGCTTCAGTCATTTCTGGATTGTTTATAGCAGGGATAGCATTGAGTATTATGTGGAAGAGTAGAATGAAAAGAAGAGGTAAGCTTGTTCCTAATCCAGTCTCCTTTTTACTGAGAAGATTTGTGTTGAAATTCGGCTATCGGACCATGACCAATTGAGTATCACTTCCATGTGATAGATAACGTTCATCCTTGTAGGCTTGCAAAGTCGGAAGGAAGACATTGATTTACCATTATTTGACTTTTCTACCATTGCCGTTGCTACTGGACATTTCTCGCAGACCAACATGATAGGAGCAGGTGGCTTTGGTTCAGTCTACAAGGTAATAAGCGATGAATTTGTGAGTTTATAGAACACGAGAAGCTTACGTAATTGAAAAAACATGTAGGGAATTCTCTCCATGGGTCAAGAAATAGCGGTGAAGAGGCTGTCCAAAAGTTCAAGACAAGGTCTCGAAGAGTTCATGAACGAAATACTCCTAATTGCCAGACTTCAGCATAGGAATCTTGTTGGACTTCTAGGCTGTTGCATGGAGGGAGAAGAAAGAATGTTAATATATGAGTATATGCCAAATAAAAGCTTGGATTATTTCATTTTCGGTTCGAGCTCCTTGATCCTTTTCATTTCCTTTTCACTTGACCCCCATGACATTAGTCTGTATGTTATTTGTGCCTCTGCATGGACATACATCCAAATGCTAATCGATGAACTCATTTTCTTTAGAGTGCCGAGCTCAAATGATAAGACTTACATGTCTGTGTGCAGATGATGACAAAAGCTTCTTATTAGCGTGGAAGAGTCGCTTTGACTTAGTTTTAGGAATTGCGAGAGGGCTTCTCTATCTTCATCAAGATTCAAAACTACAAGTCATTCACAGAGATCTCAAAACAAGCAACATATTGTTAGATGCTGACCTCAATCCTAAAATATCAGATTTTGGCCTTGCAAGAATCTTTGGAGGCAATGAAAGAGAAGCAAGAACGAGAAGAATTGTTGGTACCTAGTAAGTTTCTCATCTTGTTCAACGAGCAATTGTTTATGAACATTGGGTAATTTGAGTCATGATATTCTTAATGCAGTGGCTATATGTCCCCAGAATATGCTTTTGATGGAAATTTCTCCGTGAAATCCGATGTTTTTAGCCTTGGTGTAATTTTGCTAGAGATAGTAAGTGGCAAAAGGAACAGAGGGTTCTGCCATCCTGATCATCAACACAATCTTCTTGGTCATGTAAGTCAGTAAAGTATGGTTGTATAAACTCATGTCTTTTATGTGATGATTAATGACATGGATGGATTTGTCCTAGGCATGGTTGCTGTGGAGCGCAAGCAGGTCCTTGGAGCTTCTACATGAATCTCTATGCGACTCCTTCATTGCATCCCAAGTAGAGAGATGCATCCATGTCGGTTTGCTATGTGTCCAAAAGTGTCCTGGAGACAGGCCAACAATGTCTTCAGTCGTTTTCATGTTAGCGAATGAGGAAGCAATCTTGCCACAGCCTAAACAGCCCGGGTTCTTCATGGAGAGAGTTCCATCGAGCACAGAGGCATCTTTAATAAGGGAAGAATCGTGCACAAGGAATATCATTACGATCACCATGCCTGAAGGTCGCTAAACTTCCCATCGAGGATGTTCCTCGCTGCGTGCAGCTTAGAATTTTAGATTAGCAACTTGGTGAAGGCCTTTTTATTGAAGTCCATTGCCAATGATTATGCGTGGAGATAAATAATATCGACTCTCTAAACTTTTGTAGGAGCAAGTAATTGTATTTACTGCTTCCCTTCATCCTTATACGATACTTCGATATGTACTATCCCAATGAAGTACTTCCACATTTATAAACAAAATAAAGTATCTATTGTTTGGTCTTCATTGAATGAGTCCGACAACACTTTCAGTGCATTAATCAAAATGACAAAAGAGTGAAAAATTCTATTGTCCTGATGTTGTTAACTAGTTTAGTCAATATCTGAAATTCAATAAACAGATTCTTTAGCATGTGGGGCTAGCATTAACTTGCCCGGACTCCGGAGTTCCCAAGTTGAAATTGTCAAATTTATCGTCTCATGACTGCCAACATCTAGTGGAAGAGCCCCCACCAGTGGCAATGTTCCATTTTGTCGTCTATAAACAAAGCAATTATTATTTAGAGTTAATACCACAAAAAATCTCAAACTGGTACACCTGTAATAAATTTACCCCAAAATAATTTTTTGACTACCAAAAACTCCAAACTTGTACATCTGTGACAGATTTACCCTCTGTTCATTTCCGTTAAATTTTATCGTCAAATTGGTGAGTTTGATGACACGTGACAGTTGACGGGTGTACCAGTTTATAGTTTTATCCCTCTGTTTGTCACAAATTTACCAATTTATGATTTTTCGTGGTATTGATCCAATTTAACGGAGGGTATATTTGTCACAGATATACCAGTTTGGGGTTTTTAGTGATTAAAAAATTAGTTTATGGTAAATTTGTCACAGGTTTACCAGTTTGGGATTTTGGGTGGTCAAAAAATTAGTTTTGGTTAAATTTGTCACAGGTGTACCAGTTTGAGGTTTTTCGTGATATTAACCCTATTTTTCACTAGAGAAAGGGGAAACAAAAAAAAGAAAGCAATCTCGAATTTCAGACTAATTTATTACCCAATCTAACGATGAAAAGAATCAGTTAATGATTGATGTCTAATACATAATTCTTGACATTTCATTTGTTTTGTACACTTTTTTTTAAGTACTTTCAAAGTCGCAGTTCAGCTAGGGTCCCTTTTTATGATCTTGACGGTATTAAGAAGCGTGTGGTAGATCAATATATACTATAGTGAGGTATAGGGCAAACATTAAGACTCATCGAGCATTGAGCTAATCATCAAGAAAAATGGGCAAAACGAGATGCGATGGGACAAGAAAGATAGCATTAAAAAAAGGACAAATCGTGTCACGACCCTACGAGAATTCACCATGCTCAATCTCCAAAAGGAGTACTTCACGTTCAAGCGATATGAGTGATTATTTTTAGGAAAATATTTTACTAATCATTCATTTTTCGCGAAACAAACGGAGCCTAAATATTGGATGACTTTCCTAGGCTCTCAAAATAAGAGTGATAATGTAGGAATCTGGCGGTCCTTTGCTTAATGATATTATTCTAGGCAAATTTGTCATGAAATCCAACATTCCTGTAGTATTAAGGGGGGAATCAGAATCCACAGGAAACAATTATACAATACCATAATGACAGATTAGATAAGAGATATCCCATGTGGGCCTGACATGGAAAGGGAAATATTAGTATCTTGCACGAGGAAGGAATAACATAAGGAAATATAAATAAGACAGCTGGTCAAATTAAAACTTTTGTTTATCATATCATTAGTTTGGTTTGTACTAAGGAAAGAGGAGACCAATGAATACAGGTTTTGTTTCAGCTCCTAGTTGTCCTACCATGATCATCAATCCCTCTAAGAGTAGCTTCGGAATTGTGCATAGTTGTGTTCAAGAGTCTTCCTATTTAAATATGGGCTAGCAAATAATTCGATGTGAAAGACATTTGCTAAAAACAATCTGAAAAGTTTATGAAAGCATTGTGATATGTGTGGATATGAATCTGTCGCTTGCTTGCATATTGAGGACTTTTTAGCACGAGATGAAGGCCAACAAGCTTCAAGACTCAAGAGTATCAAACGAGTTTCTTATTCATAATGACGTGAATCGTCTTTATGACAATTTGCATTGTCAAATGATAGAACTGATGTTTTTTTAGACTAAATATCCCGTCCATCCCCACATTTCATCCTAGTACCACTTACCCTCCTCTACTTCTATATACATCAATTAACATCTTGAGGTTTGTCATTGCAGATCACTTTACATCTTCGCATGTTGCCTTATTTACAATAATGCCATTTCTTTTTTTAAAAATGTCCCATCCTGGGTCATAAATTTCCTACCACACCCAAACCCAAAACCAAACTCAAAATATAACCTCTGAACTCTAACCTCAACCTCAGTTACCGCTCATTGGCTGCCGTCGCACCCACCCTCATGATGGTGACGGCATCGGCGGCATAAGGTGATGGGTGATAAAAGGGATGAGGGTTTGAAGGCGATGGAGGCTAGGGTTTGTGAGAGACTTGGAGGATTGGAATTTCTAAAGAGGGGCAATTTGGTCATTTTAGCAATGAGATTATTTTAGAGGATTTTTTTTGTCAAAGATTTTATTTTAGAGGATGGTGAGTGGTATTTTTAAAAATAGAGGAGGGTAAATGGTGGTGGGGTGGAAAGTAAGGATGGTTTTTGGTATTTTCCTTTCTTTTATTCGTTGGAAAAAATTGCAAACAACAAACAACTAAGATTGCTCCATGAATATAATCTTCCTTCAAATTACACTCAAAATTATTTAAGCTGGACAAGCAGAAAGTTTAGAGGACAGACCAACAAATAAATTATACTATACTAAGCCAGAGTATTTAGAGAACCTAAATAAAATGAAAAGAAATTCATCGTGGCGATAATCGTCAGCAATTAGAATCCTACGGTAGTCAACTAAATGCTTTGACATAGTTGCTTGTCTTTGAAAAGAAGCTGCAATTAGTGGCAATAAACCGATTCTTGAAAACTAAAGCAGTGAAAATCTTAAATCTAATGAATAATTGTGATCAATATATTTTGGGAGGTTCCAAGTCTAAATTTGTCAAATGTAAAATAGTTGATGGACCAAAACGGGAAAAAAATATCAACAAAAGGGTCGAAGGTATGTATCATCTTATGACCGCTATGTATGATGCTCATCAGAAGGGCCCCATCGTAACTTTTGAGAAGTTTCTCACGTTTCCATAGATTTTAACGTGCCTTGACTCTTCAAGTACTCACAATTCAAATATGAATGTGAATTCAGGTATGTGCCAATCATCAAGCATAAGGCCAAAATAAGAATACGAATCTTCTCACCGACGGAATCCTAGAAGCAAGAAATCTGATGCGCGCGACCTAGAAAGGATCTCCACCAATCTTGTAGAACATGTGAGTTGACCAGTTGAGCCAACCCAAAAATTCTATCCTGACAGCTTCTTAGAAGGCAGACAGTGGTGATCACCATCCTATTTCTCTCCGAATCCTAGATTTTAGCTTGCATGGCACAAGCACATGCATTTTTTCTTCTAAATCTTATTCAGATTCGCGGTTCTGCATGATTAAGTTTAGGGATGGAAACACCTACTTTGTTCATCTGCCTTTTCATTGTCTGCCTGTTAGTCTTCGACTAATCGACTGCAACTGACACTTTAAATTCATGCCAATCTATGAAAGATGGAGAGACATTGGTCTCTTCAGACCAAAGCTTTGAGCTTGGCTTCTTCTCTCCTGGCAACTCCAAGAAAAGGTACTTGGGCATATGGTACAAGAGCACTCCTGAAACAGTAGTTTGGGTTGCCAACAGGGACAATCTGCTCACTGATTCACATGGAGCTCTCACGTTTAGCCATGATGGAGATCTAGTTCTTGTCAACCCATTGAAGAATGTTGCAGAAGCAAGCGATTGAATAGTAAAATTGACAGAATAAGAAAATAAATCGGACACCAAATTTACATGGTTCAGTTGTAGTGACCTACGTCCACGGGGAGAGCAGCATGAAATTCCACTATAGATCAAGCGATACAACGGAGATTACAATCACACTTGAGTCACTCAAATGCTCTCAGTATTTCCCAAGCCCCAATTACACTCAATAACACACGTAGTGTTTTAGCCTCACAATTCATCACGAAATAATCTCTCAATCTCACGAAGAAATTATACACAAATCTTACCGCAAGATTTAATCGCTACAAACACTCGGATATCTTCAGAGTATAATTCACTAGCAAAAGCTCCTCTTTGATGATCTTCACAAATAACATCCCATTCTTATTTATAGACAAGAATTGGATCCAAATTAGGAAACCTCTTTTTAGGAAACATTCTCCAATTATGAAACCTTTTCCAACTAGGAAACAATTTAATTAGGAAACCTATTCAAAATAGGAAACCTATTTGAATTAAGAAACTTTCCATTTCGAGCTCAAAATCGAGACTTAATTTTAACAATTTCCACATTGGCTCGACGTTTGAGCCAATTCACAATCACTTTGTCAAAACTTCACTGTTACTCTCCCTCAGCCCCAATGGGCTCAACCGCCACAGATATCTTTTGTAACATCCTTACCTCGGGGTTATTAATACGACGTTCAAGGCTCATCGCCGTCCCATTTCTTTTATCTGATCAATAAGCACATACAAAAACGTGTACAAAAAAACTCCCAAACAAAATAATAGCTGAAAATCAGGGAAAGCACAACAGGCAAAACACACTATTGCCATATTGTAACACCCCCACCTGGAGGTTATTAGTGCGACGTCCTGTGCATTATCTTTGACTAAGCACAAGCGGAAGCAATTAATTCGGGACAATCACAATCAAAACAAACAACGAGGTTATGACAAGCATCATGAGCAAACTTTGTATTAATGTGTAACATCCTTATCTTACACTCAGAAACTAGGGAAAACGTATACAAACAAACTTTCAAACAAAATAATAGTTGGAAATCAGGGAAAGCACAATAGGCAAGACACATTATTGCCATTTTACTTAAACGTATTTTACAGGCTCTTTTTCCACGGGCCGCTCCTACATACAAATCACATCACAAGCGAAGACCGAGGTTAATCCTAGCTCCTCTACGTCATCCTCCATTTTACGAACCTGAAAAGAAAAACAACAGGGAATGAGTCAGGAAGACTCAATGAGTAAATTCACTAATACTCATGCAGGATAATGTCTCGCCATTGTACGAACGCATACAAATATTTTCCCCACCTTATATCGATGG